TCTTTAGAAGAAAAAAACCAGGGAATTTGCATGTATAGACTTTAAAAAATAAGTTGAAAGTGCATACCACATCAATGGAGCTTGAGCAGTCAACTCAACAGTGCAGAAACTGGTTGAAAGTCTTCAGATCAAAACCATCCAACACAAGCTTTGCCTTTTCAATCTCAGCTTAACAAGAAAACAGTAAGAAGAAAAGACAAACTAGTCAATCACTTATTTTCACCTCAGTTTTTGCACCTCTCTCCAGCCTCTTGAAACTAGTTTTGGCACTAGCAGAATCAGAAGAAGGCAGCACTGACCCTACAGCTTCCATAGCCTCCAAGAAGAACCGCTTATTAGGGACGATACCATCTTTGTCCATTTGCTTTAATAATTGTTGTAGAAGCTCCTTCATGTTCGCCTTAGTGTAGGCCTTATAGAGAAGTTTATATGTTGATGCATCTGGAAGCACCCCCATGTCAGGTGCATTCTTGAAAAGTTTATCTGCTTCCATGGAAAGATCATTCATGCAGTATACATCAAGCATCACATTTAGGGTTGAAACCCGCATCTCCATTCCAGATTCAACTATTCTGTCAAATATTTCCCTAGCCTTGGAGACACAGTCACAGCGTCCATACATCACTATAAGACTCTCATATGTGATGAAACTTGGAGCATATTTCAAATCAGTCATTCTCTTGAATACAGATTCTCCCTTTTCTTTTAACCGAGCCTTCCCATAGTTTATAATCATTGAATTGAATGTAGCCAGGGTAGGTTTCTCCTTGGATCGCAAGAGGCTCCTAAACACTTGTTCCATCTTCTCAAATTCTTGCTTTTTCCCATAAGAATCTATGAGCAAATTGAAAGTAATAACATCGGGCTTACACTGATTGCTTTTCATCCGAGAAAGCACAGACTCCATTTCTTTGATCATCCCATTTTTCCCATATGCATCCATCACACCATTAAATGTGTAGATATCAGGGGAAACTATCCTCTCCTTAAGATCTTCAAACAGGGAATTAACTTGAGCTACATTTTGAGCTTGAGCAAAAGCCCTCAACAGAATATTATAGGTCACAACATTAGGTTTACACCGTTCCATGCCTTTCATCTTTTTAAAGTAGGCAAGAGCTTTTTCCAAAGCCTTTACCTTATCCCGGGAATGGAGGTGAGCAGAAATGAGGGCATTGTAAACAGAAGCATCAACCCGGCACCCACTATTTCGCATTTCAGAAAAAAGCCACATTGCCATTCTGATCTGCCCTTTCTTTCCCATTACTGATATCAACTTAGAATACACACCATTATCTGCTACATACCAGCATTGTTTTTGCATCCACCTGAAAACCTGAATGCACAATATGGCTCTGAAACAACCCTTATTTCAACTTGCACTCATATAATGCCAGCTTTGCAATCTACACACATTCATTTATCTTATTCTATCAAAACAATTTAAAATCTCATAGACTAACTCCTTCAGTCAATTCATTTTCCCAAACGTATTACTTCTCATCCAACTATCAAAGACATACACACCACATATTTTTTAAGTTAATAAAAGACAATTCTACCAAAATGAATTATAAGACAGCAATCTTTTTGGAAAAAGAAAACCAGAAAAGAACAAAAAAGCCAAGTGGCGCAAGAAGATCAAACCTCAAGACATTGAAGCCACTTATCAGTCCTTCCAAGCTCTTCAAATAGAAGAAAACAGTGCTCGGTTCTCACTTCCTTAACGTGTTTGTCCAATGTCTTCACCAACGGCTCTTTGTCACCAAATTTCCTCAGTAGAACCCGGACAAGGTCTCTCGTCTCCATCTGCATCCTACCCTTCGATGCTCTTCTGGATATTCGGGTCCCGACGCAGGAAATTGGGATTGGATGCTTCTTAGGATGTGGCTGGTTTATAAAGCGTCCTTTGGATATCCTTAGAGTGAGCTGGGTAAACGGAGAAGGGAGAGTGGAGAAGTGGAGGCACTGAGTTGATGATAAGTTCCGGTTCATCTTCGTTTGCTAAGATTACTAAGAGGCGAGAGGTGTTTATTGAAGATGGTGCTCGGGATTCTGGGGTGGTGGTTGTGAATTTGACAACCTTATGGGTTAATTAGTGAATATAAAAACTTGCGGGCGAAAAAGAAAATTGCTAAAGAGACCTTTTTTGGTTGGAATACATGAAAGCATAGCATTAATATTTGTGTTAAAATACATCAACAATTTCCCTTTTTGATACAGGCCCCTTGTCTAACACCGAGCAGCCCATTGGCTGATTTATGGGCTTCTTATGTTTGGGGAGTCCACGGAAAGGAACAAAATTCAAACTCTATTAAAGTTTTTTTTTTTTTTTTTTATGTTATTTCTCAATACATGCAGTTTTACTTCTTTTGTCTTCTGTCTCGAATGGCCTTAATGCAAGTTGAGAGTCACACAAAACCATTATTCTACTTGACCCCTCCTCCGTTGCTTTCTTCAAACAAAGGAGAATAGTTTCATGTTCAACAACTAAAAGAATTAGTGATATGTATGCTATCAGTCCATGCATATTTTCTTTTATTGTAGTTTCATATGCATGATATTGTAGTTTTAATCTTATAAGGCAGCATCGTAGTAGATCCTTGTTGCATTATTATGTTCTGCTATTTTTTGCCCTTTTTTTTATCTCTAACACCATTTTGCAGGAGGACATTTTTGACAAATTGGAAGAATGATTGAAGCTCGTTCATAAAGAGGAAGTGTTAGTGCTTCATTCCAAGTAACCTTGTCATGTTTAAATGAGTCTCTTCATTTTCAAACTAGATATGCTATAATAAAAACAAAAAAATGAACATATTACACTTATATAGCAAATATAAATCAAAATGAAAGTTGCACTTTTATTCAGCAAAACAATGTCTTTTATAGGAAATTACATAAACATAAAACACTAGGAAAACATGATTCGATTCCATGATTAACAAACTCCTACTTTGACTCAATCCAATATCTTTTATTCAATAAGAAAATCATATTTTTAAAAATTCAAAATAGAACCATTAAAATTTTTAACAATAAAAATATCTAACATTTCCTCCCTTAAGTGAAAAATAATTTCATTTTACATTTGTCATCAAACTAAGCTCTTCATATTGTAAACACCAATTGAACTTCACAGCTTTGTGAATGCAGCAACTTTGAGGGGCTGGGTGAAAATATCACTAGTTTGGTCTTCACTTTTGCAATAAATGGATTCAATTATTTCTTCCTTGTGAGATCTCTTAAGAAGTGAAACTTGACATCAATGTGTTTACTTCCTCCATGTAATACTGGATTCTTTGAGAGTTTGATTACTGAGTTATTATTACAGTGAAGTTAAATAACATCTTTTTATGGAAAATAAAGTTTGTCAAGAACATTTCTCATCCATATTGTTTGATAAGCACATGAGGTTGTTGCTACAAACTTTGCTTTAGTAGTTGATAGAGTCACAATTTGCTGTTTTTTTATAACCATGAGATAGCTTCTAAACCAAACAAAAACACAAATCCAATTATACTTTTCCTGTGATCTGGATCCCTTACAAAATCGCTATCTAAAAATTCAATTAAATCTGTTTGCTCTCCTTTCTAGTAGTAAATTCCAAGGTCCACAGTACATTATAGGTACTTGAGAATTTTTTTAGTAGCCAACAAATGAATTTCTCTTAGTTGCTTTATATATCGGCTGGTAAGACTGATAATCTATATTATGTCCAGCCTAGTGGCTGTTAAATACATTAAACTCCCTACACTTTATTTGTCATATGTGTTGTAAATCTTCTTTCCTCCAAGATCTTTCTCAAGCTTCATCCCCATCTCTGAAGGAGTGCTAGCAGCATTGCAGTGCTCCATGTCAAATTTTTCTAAAATTTTTTGGGCATATTTCTTTAGTGAAATAAAAGTTCTAACTACAAATTGTTGAACTTCAATCTTAAGAAAATAAGACATTAATCAAAGGTCATACATATCAAATTCCATCATCATGAGCTCCTTAAATTTATCAAGCAATCATTTATCATTATCTGTAAAAATTAAATCATCAACATATAAACATACAATAACAATCTTTTCATATTCACTCTTTATATAAAGTGTATGCTCATAGGAATAACTTTTATAACTAGTCTTTGAGAAATAAGTATCTATATAGTTATATCAAGCTCTTACTATGTTGAAGACGATCTCAACTCAATTAAGAGAAATTACTTTAGTTCACATGTAACACCTAATAATTTCTTTTATTTTTATTTTTATTTTTTTTAATATAGTTATTTATTTATTTAATTTATTTTAATTTAATAAAAAAAAGGGGTAAAAATTTGTTACGGATTAAATTGAAAATAATTTTGGAAAAAATGAATGAAAATTTTGGGTTTTGAGGATATTTTTGAAAGAAAAATAAAAAATCGAGGGTTAAAACGTAATTTTTAAAAAATTGTGCCACGTCAGATACCCGGTTAGTAGCCCCGACCAACCAAGACGTGACAGGTGGCAAAGGCGCTGACGCAGGAGGAGCTACTTGGGCGATCCGCGTGCGCGCGATTAAACGACTGAGGT